CACCGTAGGGAGTGTCTAAGGAAACTGTGGGGGTAGGTATGCGGGGAGCATGGCAAGATAATTTGGCTGAGTTGATAATGTACAGTGACCACCGTCGGGAGTGTCTAAAGTTGACATTTCGAGCGTTAACTCATGGTTGAAATGAAATAATGGTGATGGAAGCCAATTTCCTTTATCGACTAGGTCGATAAATCCAACACTTATTGGCTACAACTCTTCAATATACTTACAGCACACATAGCTTTTCTGAACATGTCTTCGTACATTAGCCCAATGATAATCCTTGCATCTTTCTCCTTTTTGAAATAAAGAATTTTTGAGAAACTTCAGTTAGATACACAAATATTATCTGGTGAGCAAAATGCCAACTGGTACTTTTGCACGCAATGTTAAAGGCTCAGTTACAAGCCACATTCGAACTTCAATTTCAAGCTTATAAAAAAGCGTTTTATTTCTTCTGTTACAGCAACAAGATCTGGTAATCCGGGAAAACACAATAAATGCATACTGAACTCAGCGCTATGAACTTGGAATGGTGCGTATCTAACCTTAATTAAGTACTTGACCGATGAAGATGGGTCATATTTGAAGCTTTCTGTTGCAACGATGGAGATGTTGGACTTGTTTAACAGTGGAACGAGGTCCTCTTTTGTCTATTTGGATAGAAATTGAAACAAATAGAATCAAATCTTCGGTTAATTAACATTTCCTTCTTTTTCTGACTTCTTTGCTAGAATTTTTGTTGTTGTTACTGCTGTTGTTGTGTTCGTTGTTACCACCGCTGTTGCTGTTGCCTTAAAATCAAAGTCCATTGATTGTATTTTTTTTAATTAGTTGATCTGATTCATGTAGTGCCTTTGAAGAAAATTTCAGTCTTTCTATACATACTATATGAACTTCCTTATTGCAAATGAGTATTAAGCCTCTTACCATAACGAAAATATCCTGGTTTTGCACAAGTAGGGCGACCTTTTTCCAATTAAATTGCTTTAAAAGTGCTACTCTGGTCGGGTTTTCCATTGTTTCTGATGTACTGGTTCTAAAGTACAAGGGGAACTTTTCTTTGTTCGAGAACTGTGGCGATGATGTACTGTATCCAATCTGAGAAGATTGAAAGGAGAACATGCCTATTAGTCGATGCCATCAAAATGAGCAGGAACAAGTTAAAAAAAAAAACTGCAGCTGAAAGGAAGTTGATGTAATTGCGCATTTATATCTGGCTTAACTTGAGGTCAAGCATGATTATTAAATTGCGGTAAAGCAATTTAATCCATGACATCTAGAATGATAATCTATCAAGTAACTACACGATATTGGACAGCTATCACTGCGAATTATCGATGATACAACTTGAAAATGCAAGCTCACAAATCACTGAAATTAGAATATTTTGACTGAGGATGATAACAAATGGCAAAATGATCTCTTTAAGTAATATGCAGTCAAACTGTAAGCTAAAGCAATTTACCAAAGGCCCACGGACTTCAGAATGATCGTCAAAATGCTGAATAAAGCCATTATTATTATAATAATTCATAAGTATGCGTTTGTGGGAACTTGTTTACAGTGGACCACGCGATGATCCGCCAGCGTGCAGGCTTAGTCATTCAGCGTCACAATGATATACGCGATCTACAGGCCGAGCTGCTCGACATGATTTGTTACGATGTGCAGGTGGAACCGGCTTTACAACCTATTACAGGCGAAGAATTTCCCAGAGGGACTAATCAAGCCCCTGACGCACGCCTCGACGTCCACTGTAGGGGTTTCTGGGAGCGACAGAGGGCTGCTTTTTTCGATATAAGGGTGTGTCATCCCAATGCAGACTCATACAGAGATCTTAGCCCCAAACAGATTTACAGGATTCATGAAAATGAAAAGAAGCGAAAATACAGCTCCCGTGTAACAGAAGTAGAGTAAGGCACTTTTACCCCACTGGTATTTACAACGACGGGGGGAGGGGGGGGGATGGCTGACGCATGCCTGAGGTACCACTCAAGATTAGCCGAGCTATTATCTGCAAAAAAAGCAAGAGAGCTACGCCACAACAATTTCATGGGTCAGAGCGAAAGTGTCCTTTGCAATTTTGCGGAGCGTGCTCCTATGTCTAAGGGGATCTACAACCCCGAGAAGGAGGAACATAGACATTAAAGACAGGGATCTAGAAGTAGAGAAGGGTCGAGCAAGACTTCCTTAAACTTATCAGTTGTAGATTATTTTTATTATAATTATAGTAAATTTTTCTTATTATTCTTTTGCGTTGAACTTTTGAAGACTTTGCATTTCCTTTGTCAGGAGACTTAAAGTAAGTATAGACTACCTAAACAGCACTTTATAATTCTATTACTCATAGCCATATAATTATGTAGTTTAGGTTAGAGATATTTTTCCTTAAAAGGAGAATTGTAACTTGAAAGATTAAAGACTTTCATGTGAGATTCAGTAATATAGCTTTTTCAGTAATCTCGACAAATCTAATTAATTTCTTTGTTGTTGTCATCATCTTACTAAACGAAGCGTGTATCCCATAGCTTTTCTTAGATTTTTATCAGACATTTTAAGCCTTTTAACATGATTTTTGTAAATTTTTAGTGATTATGGTAAATAAAGGTCTATTAATAAAAAAATTATTATTATTATTATTATTTTTACTATTACTATTATTATTACTATTATTAATATTATTATTGATATTATTATCATTATTACTATTATCATTATGAAATTCACGCATAACTGAAACTTACCTGAACTGCCTGCCAGTAAGGGGCGGCTTCCGCAACAGGAACTGTTGCTACCGAGCATCCGGGACCCAGGAAAACAATCTTGTGCGGAGGAGTGTCAATCATCTCGAGCATAGCTTTTATACCTGATCCACTTTCACACTTAAGCAATGGAAGCAAAAAGTGGAAAGAAAGATGTTAATTGTGTTTTTAACTTGAAATTGTTTAAAGTGATCTCAGAAAGGTGCATTTCTGGTCATGTTAGAAAAAAAGGCTGGCTCAAGTCCTCAAATGCATGTGTTCATTGCTGTACAAATGAATAAACGCAAATAGTTATCTGGTTAGAGCGCCGGATTGTGTTGTGCGGGAGGTCGAGGGTTCGAGCTTCGGCCGGACCAATACTCATGGTCTTAAAATTAGTGAGGAGAATTTGCTACCTTTCTATAATCAAGAAATGGATAGATATTCTAGTCTTCTCGGATAAGGACGAATAAACCGTAGGCCCCGTCTCCTGCAGGGTTAGGGGTAGGAGACGTTAATTTCCCACGCACGAGATTACTGTGTTGTGGATGTCCTCCCTTGGGGTGGGATGGGTGGGTGTTGGCCCTGAAAAGCCCCTATGGGGAGTGGTCAATTAACCTATGTATGTATGTATGTATGTATTACAAACGTATCTAATCGTTTGTCTGTGTATGATGGTTCAATCCAGGGTAGGAAAAGAGAAAGAGAGAACGTTTTTGTGCGTCGGACACGCAGGCTAGTGGGAGCTATGCGTGCATTCCATAGTATTCAACCATGAAATAGCTACTGTGGACTTTTCCCTTTTTCTTTTTTGAAAGCTTGAACGAGTTCCATAAATATCAAACCTTGGAATCATTCCACACATATTTCAGCTGATAGTCCACTAAAATGCTTGGGTCGCTGTTTATGTGTTCCAGTGCCATTTCCAGAGCTGGAATGACTCCAGCTGTGCTCCAAGCCCCTTTTTGAATGTTTACCCCGAAAAATCCACCAATGTATAAATCGATTTTGGACGTAGTGTTGTCACTTTTGGTAAAAGATGTCAGGAAAATGAAGAATCGTAAACGGAGGACTTGAAGAAACCTGCTGGACATGGTTTTCAAATCCTTTTGAACAGTAATGGAGAGCTGCATTCATGGAAAAATTACATGAATTCTTCAGCACATCTGAATTAAAGAGAGATTTTGAAATTCCCGCATTAATACGATGTAATGAAGGAATGCCAAAGCTAAATAGACGGAGACTGTCCCACACTTAATCTAATGGACATTTTCAGACGTGCTTTCAGTCTCTGTTTTTTAATACATTACTGAGAACTTTTAACTGGTAAATTAATTTTCAATCGTTGTAGACAAAACTCGTTATCGCCAAAAGTGATTTGCACTTTGTGCTTTTGACGCTTAACGATTTTTGTGACTCGGAAACGTCCTATTATTTCGTTTTCATGATATCCGATGAGTACTTATAAATAAGTAACTAACTAAAGATAATTACTTGGAGAACTTTAGGTACATGATTCCCTAGTCCAGCCCGTCTTCTTGTATTGGGAAGGTTTACATTTGGTTTGTGCAAAAAGTTATTTTTTAAGTGAGGCGGACGAGCTCCTGAAATAACGAAGGCTTTATGGGAACTATTTCCAGGTGGAAGTGAAACTCACCAGCCCCGACTATAAAGACAACGACTTGTGCACTGAACTGAAAACCGCAGTTTCTCTCGCTCTGGTTGGAACCCTCAGAAAGAAACTTAATAATGCCAATCCTCGGACATACTTCGTCTCCTCAAAAGAGATAATTACTTCTCTCCACCGTCGACCTTCGTGGTAATAGTGTAACTTATTGGTGACAGGTATGGTGTGATTGCAATACCATAAACTACCTCTTATAAGCCCTCGGCTAATATACAACTTCGTAAGGGGTCTTGGGAGAGCTTACAAACGGAGGGGCCTATATCTGAGGGGGCTTGTGACCAGAATAAAAAGAGCGCTTCGAAACGAGGTACATCATTCTAAAGAAGTACTGATCAAAATAGGCTTTATATCAGTTTACTAGTTTCTTTATTTAAGCTTCAAAACTTCATAAACTGTTTGGAAAATATGGGAAATATAAAGCGCATCCTGTGTTTTGATTGGCTACCAGACCGAGCAAGATGGGCCCATTTTGCCCGCTCAGGATTGCCCGCTTTGATCCCGCGCAAGAAAATAAAAAAGTGCGAGGAGCGGGCTAACAAAGTTCGTAACTTTTGTACAATAACGGCGATGAAGTTGCAAAAAGTGGCAGAAGACAGTCAAAACAAAGAAAATCCTCATGGGTTGATTGTGCTAAATATTTTATTGACCAGGCTTTTTCGGTAAGATATACGCGTTATCAATTCAACCAAGCGTGAGGTCAAGATGGCTGGATTTTGGCCGAGTTCTTTCGCATTTTTATGGACCGAGGAGAAGTCGAGGTCCATAAAAAATGCGAAACAAGAACAGGCTAATATCCAGCCATCTTGACCGAACAAGCCTGGTTAATAAAGGATTTATTATACAGCAAAAAGATTTCGCTTTACTAAGAATTAAGAATTACTTGTTTACTTCGAGAACCGGGAAAAAAAGCCAACTGTGTTTGTAGCACAACAAACTCATGAGAGTCGTTTCTGTTTTCTTTGTTTTGACTATCTTCTGCCGCTTTTTGCGTTCCATTGCCGAAATTGTCCAAGACTTGCGAACTTAGTTCTGATTAGATACAATGAATATATGAAGTTCATATATTTTGAACTGCGGTATTAGATACGTATGACGCACGATCCTCGCAGGAGAGAGCGCTATTTATGCAATAGCGAAAATCAGACCTGAAAAAAATCAGGCCTGTACGGGATTCGAACCACTGACCTCTGCGATACTAGTGCAGCGCTCTACCAATTGAGCTAACAAGCCAACTGGGAGCAGGCCGTTAAGTTGATTCGTAATAAACCCGTGATGATAAATCAGATACAATGAATATATGAAGTTCATATATTTTGAACTGCGGTATTAGATACGTATGATGCACGATCCTCGCAGTAGA